GCATGCCACCCCTAGGCTCATCTCTAGTGAGCCCGGTTTTGTCCCCTTCCCCCTTCAAACCTAGTTTAAAGCCCTCTCAATGAGCCCTGCCAATTCATAAGCAATGACCCTTTTCCCCCTGTGAGACAGCTGGACTCCATCTGTCGCCAGCAGGCCCGGTGCCGTGTAAATCTCCCCATGATCTAGAACGCCAAAATTCCTCCGACGACACCAGCCCCTGAGCCACGTGTTGATCAGGAGTGTTTTCCTGTTCCTTCCAGTGTCCTTCCCTGCCACTGTAGGGATTGAGGAAAACACTACCTGTGCTCCCGATCCTTCAACCAGTCTCCCCAGTGCCCTGAAGTCCCTTTTGATCGCCTCAGGACTTCTCTCTGCAACCTCATCACTGCCAGCCTGTATAACCAACAGCGGGTAGTAGTCCGAAGGCCGTAAATGCAGTAATGGCAGTAAAATCTACAGTCTGCAATTAATCATTTGGAAGCAACAGTAGTGTAGCACCTTGTTTAGTTTAATTTCAGTTTATTGGATTTTAAATTCCCGTTGTTGTCGTTTTGGGTTTGTTTATACTTGCCATGGTCATGATCCTGATTTTTCATTATAAGATTCGAGTATTAAATGTTTACTGTAAGTTCTGTCATTGCTTTTGAAGGCGCTGTGTCAAAAGGGAAACATAGCCACTTTGAACCTGTGTACCATTTCTGTGAACTTTTGTCTTACAACAAGTATTTACAACAGTATTTTCAGTTGCCAGCAACACTGTTGGAAAGAAAATAACGTGCGTAAGTCATTTTCAAATCATCTGAAGTGATGATTGGCTCTGCTGGGCTAGAGCTCCCCAGCATGCACTTTCTCAGAACCTGTTCTTTACATGTGCTGCGTGGTATGGGTTTTGCATTTTATGATGCTGGGAGAATTATATGTAGAAAAAATACTGCATACGTTAGAGCAGCACTTGTCTAACCTGTTCTGCTGAACTCGGTGCTGCTGAACTCAGTGTCTTGGCAGAGCAGAACTAGCTATGGCTTTGAGGAACAAGACGTGGATAAGGTACTTTGTAATTATTTGCTTAAAATAATACTCTTTTATCTTTGATGCATGAAGTAGTTAGCTGGTATCATTAGGTCATGTTCAAGCAATATATCTAGATCTTAGTCTAAGGCTTTTTTTATCTTTTTTCTTTTTTTTTTTTTTTGTCCCTCAGTTTGTAAGACTTGTATTGTTCAACACTTTGAAGACAGCAATGACTGTCCCAGGTGTGGCAACCAAGTGCATGAGACCAATCCACTAGAAATGTTAAGGTAAGATGATATTGCACAATGTTTGCCGAAATGGAATAACAAAAAATAAAAAATAAAGTCTTAATATATTTATCCTGAAAAGGAATTAAATTTTCTGCTTTTGTAAAATACATATGTCAACTGTTCTTGGATAGATTCTGTCAATTTTTCATCTCCCAATAGATTGATTTTTTTCAGATATAATAAAAGGAGGAAAGATAAGGGAAAGACACAGAAAGGCTGGGTATATTGTACAAATTAAAATAAACATTTTAATGCCTCTATTAAACAAATAAATGCAGCAGATACCTTTTATTCTTTACATGAAATTAAAGTCTAGAGTTTCTTTTCTCAAACGATTTAGGGCATTCCAAACTGCATGCAACTTTTTTTCTTCTTAGAGCAAGGTAGAAAATGAATCATGCAAATAACTGAATGTTTTTCAGAACGTAGATTTACCAATCTGAATTGAAATCTGCTGTCAGATTAATGAAAAGACACTCATGAAAGAAAGTTGTGACACCGAGAGTGCCCTTTCTTGAGAGTTTGCATTTTTTATATCACAATAACACATCTTTGTTTAAACAATTATTTTTCTTGAAATTCTGGATTCTCTTTTTAGTGATGTTATGTTGAAACAAAGGTGATAGCCATTCTACAAGTATAGTACAGAGAAATCAAGAAATGTCATCATAAGTGGAAGAACTTCATGTTTTCCTAAAATGATGAAGCCACTCCTTGCCCTCACTCCCAACGGTCCCTCCACCCCCCTGCCCCCAATATTATTAGTCTGTAATACTGTTGTGAACTTAGGAAGAAATATTCTTACATCAATGTTAAAATAAATAATTACATCTGGAATTTACTAGGGTTGTTATTATTTCCTCATGTCATTGTGTTTGCTACAATTTGTTGTATTTTGCTTTGATTTTTGACCGATATGTGTGTGCAGAGCAATTCCCAGGCTTCAGTTATATACCAAGAGGATAGGTGGGAGAGATTAAGTTCAGCAGCTCTGGTGTTATTAACTCAAAGGGTGTCATTAGCTTAGGTCTTTATCATCTGAATGTTTTTTGGAAGGGTAGGGCTAAAAGGGTTTATGTAGATGTTTACCATAAGTATTTTTCTGATCTCCTGCTGTGTCAGCCTTAACGGAAGATGCTATACGGAGTGCATAAGGCTGCTAATAAGCTGAAAACAAAAGCATTTTAGAAATGTTTCTTTTATTCTGACAGGACCATTTCATAGGAGCTGAAAAATGCATTTTCTGAAACATCTAGTAGATGTTTAGTAAAATAATAATATGCTTTAAGCAGGAAATGACAGAAGGGTGAGAAAAGTTGAGACCACAAGCCAGAAATGTGGGAAGAGCTATTTTCTTTGCGATTATTTCCTGAAACTCCTTTTAGAGTCTTTGCATTTATTTGCCAACAAACTGCATATAGCTAGTAGTTTGCTGGTTGTATTTTATGAAACAGTTTTAAACATTTGCTAAACTAATAATCAGAAGAGCACATGAGCAGTGTAATGGAATTATCTTTTTTGGATGTTGCCTGTGTAACTTAATACGTCTTGTACTCTGACTGTAGAGACCAGCCCAATCGCTGCTCAAGAATGCAGTCATTTTCTGAGACACTCTAGATAGATAGTATCTTTAACTGAGATCTTTGAGGTAAACTTTATAAGCTACTTCATAAACTCAATTCTGAATAACTTCATAACCATATGAGTTTTTTAGATGTATCTTTTTGTTGGCAGCGCTTAGGGTCTGTTGAAACTATAAGCCTAAGTCTGAAATTCAACATTGAGCTCTAAAATGAAAATCTAGGAAGAGTGTTAAATTCTAGAATTCCCTTTCCTGATTTAGCAGAATTCTGCATCATCAGTGTTCAAATTCTGCGTTGGTTATGCCATGAAGGCAGGCTTCTTTTTTTCTTGGTAGCATGCTGCTTTGGATGCAAGTTTTCCTGAGTGATAGTCTTCATTTGCTTCACTTCAGATAATTAGGAATTATCAGAGAGTAGCTTTGATCTTATAAGTCATTCAATATTATAGCAAAGGTGAAAAAAGAAACTATACGAAGCTGACATAAATGCTTGGTTCTTCTTCCTATACATTCTGGTTTAGAGGTTGGAAGATGTGGGGGTGGAAAGAGGTGTGTCTAAAATATTAATGTTCTAGTTTCAGCATTAACAGGAAGTATCATATTAAATGACTGAGACCAACTTTGGTGTTATGTCAAGTAGTTTCATTTTGGAATGGGTTTGATGCGAGTCACAGAAATACAAATCTTTGTTAGAGCGCTCATAGGCGTGGATAATAGGAACACTGTAAGAGGCATCTGAAATTGAGAATCTTTTTATAATTTCCTATTTTTTCCCTATAGTTTAAGTTTAGTTTCCCTGTACTTAAAGATCAGAAAAGTGTTATTTTTTCTGCATTTTTAAAGTATTGATTAGTATTTATGCTTCATAAGGACAAAATAGCTCTCTTTGTTTAGTTTTTGAAAGAAAATAAAGTCATTGACTGGAGTATGAAGCCAGTTCTTGCTGCTAGCATCGTAAGTTGGCTAAGTATACTGGTTTTCTTGCTATGTTAGCATTACCAGTGGCTTTTGTTTTGGGCTATTGAAGACGAATTAGAAAGTGCTAAGTGGGAATTTTCAAGAATAAATGTAGAAAAAACAGCATGTATTATACCATCCTGAGAAATGGTTAATGGGATTTTGAATTAAGGTAGCGATGTTCTCTTTTGAAGTCCTTATTTCTTTTCTCTTAATGAGTAAGTTATGAAGATTGGAGCTTTCTTACAATGTGAAATGAAATCCATTCCCAAGACAGGTTCCCAAGTTCCCAGTGCTCTGCTGTGGGAACTTCATAGAAAGCAGTACCATCTAGTTGCATTAGATATTGAGAGGAGAGGCTAGAAGAGAGAACTTACCATTTGGAAAGGTAGACCTATATTGTCATCTATCAGAAGTTAAGAGCTCAGACATCCCATGATTTTGGTTTCCTTCTTATCTGTGAGAAAGTATTCTCTATGCTGCTTTGTTTTAGGGCAGGTCTGTTTTACTTGCTGAAGATTTTTTTTTTTTTTTGTCCTTATAAGAAGAAGCAATTAAAAAATGGATCATGGTTGTAGCTTAAACATGACTATTCTTATGGTATGACTGTCTCCACGAACTGACGGATAACACAGGGAACTAGTCTCAGAACAAGATGATTGGGTAATAGGTCTAATTGTAAACTTTCAATTACAAATACAAATTCTGTAAAGAAGAGAACCTGGAATGCTTATGTATTTATTATAAGAAGATAATTGTTATCTATTAAAATAGCTTTTAGGTATTCCTCAACAATAAAATCATTCAGTCTTCTTCCTACTTTGCTGCTGCTAGTGAACAAAAGAGAGAGAACAGTCGTATGTTTTATAGCAGGCCTATAGTGTATTATTAATAACATGGAAACATACATGTATGTATATATGCAAATATATATGTATATCTAGAGAGATATATCATTATTGAGATGAAAAATTAAGGCAATTAAAAATATACTAAAGGCAATTACTGTATTGTAGCTTCTTACTGAATCTCAAGGTACTTAATTTCTCTGGCTGTATTACTTAGTACTTTGTTTTGTCATGGGTTTTTGTTTAGGCTGTGGCAGTGGGAGTCACTGTTCGCAAGAGAAGATGTAGAGGGCAGAGGAGAGAAAGGAAAAGGAAACGGAATGAGAGACAGAGGAAACCAAAGGATAAGTGAGACGGGGAGAGGAGAACTAGAAACTAGAACTAGGAAGTGGATGATAAATTAAACGGCTAGGAGAGTAGGTAAAATTCAGAGAAAGGGGAAGAAAAATATTTTAGCTTCAGCAACAAAGGTAAATGCACTGTGTCCTCTGGAAGGGACTGTAATAGCTATTTCTGGCACTAATATCAGGATATCAGAGGACATGCCTGTGCTGCGTAGTGTCGTCTGGTAGGCAAATTCATGGCAGATTGAAATAGTTTAAATGAATTATGTTGGGTACTGAGAACTGTCTAGCCAGAGCAGCATGGATACTCTGTGGTCTTCTTTGTCCTGCCAAGACTGGTTTGTCTGTGTTATAATGAGTAGGGAATAGTCTGTTCAGTGTTTCATAACAGCCTTATTACCAGAGCACTTGAACACTTAATATGACAATGGAGTTTATAATTTTCATGCTTTACTACTCATGACCTGGACCTTAAAATTGGATACTACTTTCCAGTTTGTTCCTTTTAGTAACACAATTGTTTGCATGTAACACAAATTAAAACAATGAAAATTTTAGAGTATAATGTTTTTTCTCTTTTGCTTCATTTTTGTCTTTATACATTAAAAAATACATTCCTTGGTTATTTCTAAAAGAAATCCATTCAAGAGGCAGTTGAGATAAGCTTTAATGCATGTTGTCTCTCAAGCTAAAAAACAATTGGTTTTTGCAGGATGTATTATTTACCAGAAATATGCAATTCATTTTATTATTCAAAAGTGTTTGTTATTTAAAGGCTAAAAATATTTAAAACGCTAGTTTCTACTTAATGTGAAATGTATTTTTTCCCTTTGAAAGGCTGGATAACACCTTAGAGGAAATTATATTTAAGCTGGTGCCTGGACTTCGAGAACGTAAGTTTCTCATTTGATTTTGGGTACCTGTTTGGGTTGATGGAGGGAATATGGCTATTTCTAATGATATACCTGTAGTATTGATTTAAAAATTCACATCACTGTTCTTTGATGTTAACTAGAGGAACTGCAGCGAGAGATTGAATTTTGGAAGAAAAACAAACCTCAAGAAAATGGACAAGGTGATGATTTTTTTTTCCTCTCTCACCTGTATGTTAAGTAACATTGCTCATTAAGCCCTGTTTCTTCAAACAATTATGCATGCATATTGTTTTTACTGAATTCAAAGATACTATAGAAACTCATAACAAATCTATGTCAATGTAATCTGGGCATTCATGTATTGTTGCTTATCTATTAACCAGTTGTTTTACAAACACTAGCTGTTTTACCATGATTTTTATTTGCATTTCCCGAAGCTCTCACTTTCAACACTCATGCCATTTTCCACTTGAATTCTTAATTTTCTTAATACAGCAAGATGCAGAACTACTTGAGTATTTTACAGATTATTTTCTGTTACTGAATTTGACCAGCTGTTAAGTAGGAGGTTGTCAAGGATTAGTTATGACAAGTAGTAAAACAGTTTTCCTCACCCGCTAAACAATTGTTTTATATATATTCCAAAATGCTTTTTCTTTTTTTCTTTCTTTCTTTCTTTCTTTTTTTTTTTTGTAGTTGACCCATGAACTTTGAGAGCTCAGGCTTGAGGTGTTAAGTGAGGACTACATCCAGCTGTTTTTATGCCCCTTTGATTTGACATCAAGGTTTTGATACCATAGCCTATTTGATTTGGGCATTTTTAAGAATTTTTGGAAGGCTCTGCTAAGCTAAAGAAATAGCTGTTTTTAGTAAAGGATCACTGTCAAGTAAATGTCTTGCAATACTCTTCTGCACTCAATTGTTTATAATATCTTCTTTTCAACTTCATAACACTTCATTTTCTTTCTCACTAGTTTTGTTGATTTGCATTTGGCATCCATTTTAAGGGACAAGGTTCTTTTCTCTGTTATATAATTAAATGAAGAACTGCAGGACAGTTTAGATGAAATTATATTAGTTTACTACAACATACTGTGTAGTGTATACCTATTCAGTTTTAAAAATACTTAGAAAAGATTTTTATGAAATACAGACATTTGTTGACCGTTTAGAAAACTATTTTCTGCCATATACATAGATAGAAAAAAAAAACATATAAATTGCAAATTTGTAGAATGTGACTTACTTCTAACCAATTTATTCTTCTGGTTCTTACCTTCCTCCCATAATTTAATGGTAAACCTAATGGAGATCAGTTACTAAGTGTAATGAGTGATTGGATTGTTTTGTGAATCAGAGGAAGGCTCTAACTCTCAAAATATACTTTTATGTAGCTACGGATGTATCCAGCTCTGTTAGTGACTGTGTCCTTGGGCTATGGAAATTTGACTCTACAAACCATTTGGAAGTCGTGATAACTCATTGAGACAAATTATGAGCATTTAAACTACTTTCTGCCATAAACAAGCATTTAGAATCTTGCCCAAGAATAAATTATTCGGTGAGAATAATTTCAGTACGAAGGGACTGTTTCAGCTGTCAAGACCATCCCCTGCAATCACATAGTCAGTCTAGTTTAAAAGAGTCCATCAGTTATGTATTTACCACAGGTCACAACACAGTTCCCAACCTTAGCATCTGAGATCTGTAAAAAAATCCCAGGACTTACAATTTTCACATATCGGAAGAAGAAAAAACCCGAACAACAAAGCATGTCTCAGGCATTGGGGACTCCTCTAGGAGAGGGCTTACTAGAGAGAATTGATGGGTGATGATAGGAAACATACTGTGGTACAGAGAAAAATACCTTTATTGGTCCTTTCCAGTCTGAACTGGAGAAGGAAGAGTGCAAACAGCTTTACATTGACTCGCTCTCTGGTGATCAGTTTTAGGCTGAATATCTGAGAAAAGCACAGGGAGTAGACAATTTCCAAGGTTTGGAAGAAAGATGAGGAAAAAAATGAGGCACTAAATTATGTCTTACGGAAAGAGGAGTGGAAGTGGGGGAGTTGGTTTGTTTTTCCTGTCTTCTGTTCTTGGG